GTTAGGCCGAATTGGGGGGCGGGCGGGTGGGTTGAGTTAGCAGTGGGCGACTGGGAGGACGCCAGCATCAACAGTGGGGCAGGTTGGTGCTTGCCTGAAGCGCCATCCACCGCACTCTCCCTTGGTCGGCTGATGTCCAGGCACATCGAAAGTGACCATCTGCAGAGGGCGCGTGTGTGGGAAATATCCCGTGAATTTAAAGGACTTTAGCTAAATCTTTAGGGCTGACTCCAATGGGATTGTAATCACTCCTAATGGTAGCGCAGGTTTGATGCTATTATACACTCGGCAGCCAGGCTCTCTTTTCAAATCAGGTGTAAATCCGTTACCAATAAACACTAGTGTTCCAAGATTATACCACGTGAATGTTAAAAAGACTTTAAACATTATCGAAGAAATTGGCAATCGTGATCCCCTTGCTCTAATTCCACGTAACTAGGATAGTTTGCGTCTTTACTGCCTGCGTACTTGACTTTGACTTCACTTATTACTGAATAAGGTAAATGAAGGCAGCATCCGTAAAGCCTACCTTTATCACCATTACGCGGCATGTCCTAAGTCAGTCACAGTTTCTGTCCCTCAAATCTGGCTGGTTTTTGAGTGTGTGTTTTCCTATTTTAATTAGTTACTGGTCAATTTTCATCGTTGATAAACCTATACCCTTGTGCTAGTCGCATAGAGCACGCATGGAGTGTATCAAGGTTGTTTTAGTGCATCTGAATATGACTAAATATCTCCTTAAGCCCTATTTACACCTACGTAGGTTGGTTGTTGAAGCCATTTTTTGAATGTGTTGGACAAAGTAGGTAGTTTGGCGCTTTTTAGTCAAACGAGAACTTTACAAAACAAACGTCTGGATGGCCAAATGGATAAAGTTGTGTGGTGACCAGCAAGCCAGCAAAGTTAGCAGTCGTGAGCGGACGCAGTTTGCACGTTCGAGCGAACACAAATCAATCGATTTTTTTTTCGTGAAGGCACTGTTGTGGTCAGACGGCCACCGCGCGTGAACGCTGAGTGTATGCCTGCCCAACTCTATCAATGACTCACCCCTTTGTTATTGGCTCTTGTTAGCGGTCGCCTGTTACGCTCTCGTATTGATACGATTTTATTCGACTTGACTTGACTGGCGTGACGCGAATGAACGGTCGCGTTCCCTTTTGATTCTGCCTTATCTTTTCTTGGATTGTGACCGGCTGTTATCTATAGGGTTTTGTGGTAGTGCTAATTTAGGCCCCCACTGTGGGTAGTGAGGGTGAGACGTGCAGAGGGGTACGTGAGCAGGCGGTCCCACTTGGCTGACGAGCACTCCGTGAAAAATGGCGCAGTGAGTTGAGAATACGGCGACAGAGCGGATGAACGTGAATTGACACGATTCACTACAGAGCGTTCTTGTTAAATCAAATGTCATATAAATCGTATTTTGCAGTGTTTTATCGAGACTGACTGCAAGCCGTTAATGAGCTGTTGTCTACGCTCATTTGTACATGTAGCAAAACACATATGATGTTTGCAAAGTCCTTGTTTGGTGAATTGTGTAGTTCATTTCAATGCTAAATGGTCACCAATTATAAGGACTTTGTTTCATTGGCTCTTGGTCTCAAGCGGTTTGTGGACAAAAATGTTTCAATTCACAGCTTAACACCATTGTAAGTGTTCACGCTTTGTAGTGGGAGGTACTAATTTATTTAAATTTCCTTAAGAAAAAGGAATTCAGTAATCGTTAAACCCTGAAATCAACAGGGACGGGACCGCCGAAATGCCAGCGGTATTAATTTCCTTGCCCTAACAATTTCCAGATACATTCGTTATTGTTTTGGCACAGGTTTTTCTTGTCCCCTATTAAAACATCATGCTTTTTGGTTGACTACTGTCGTCTAGCTGTTTTGCTTGAGTCATCTTTTACAGTAATTTTACCTTAACACAATCGATTCCTCAAAATATCTTCATCTAAATCCTCTTGTTAAGACCTAGAATTCATCCATTCGATGGCCCCGTTACCTTGTTTTTATTGCCATTCGTTACCTTCTGGTCGCGTTTTACTGTTTCGGCGAATGTAGCACCTTGCACTTTATATCCAACGCCCACAATTTTTTGTTTAACAACTCATGCACTTCATTGATGGACTAATTAGTTAGCACATTCCTGATCCACCGAAATTCGCCCCGACTAAAACGCTTCGAGCACAAAATATTAATGCAGCCGTCTTGAGAAGCATGATTGTCTTTGGACAAAATGTAACAGGTAACGTGCCAGGGGCTGTTACCCAATATTTTCCATGTCTCCGGTCGAACTAAATTTATATCTACTGTGGCGGATAAATTTAGCTACCTAACTATGCCAATTTTCGAATGCGTAAGTGGCGGAGAACCCAAGAATTGCGGTGTTTTGCAGGTTCCCCCCAAGATTAATTTAACTGAGTTCAATAGGGACTGTGGAAGACAGCATTGGTGTTGATTGGCACACGTGCTCGCTGGCATTAAGGCGTCATTCTGCCGAAAATGGCAACAGAGGACGGCAATGGGAAGACGGCAATGCGGTTTTGCGCGGCTTCTCAAGTGAATCCAGTCCAGGGCCTCTTGAGTGTGCGTTACTCGCGGAGGTGTGAGAGCTTCCTCACTTTGTCGTTTAGTGAGCAACCAGATGGAAGATGCGAACAGGAGGCCCGAGGTGCTTATAGACATGAGACGATTAGTGCTGAGCCACAAAGGCCAACCTCTGTGAAGGCATTGGGAAACAAGTTGTGGGACACACAAGCTTTAGAAATATGCACCGATGGGCACAAGAAAAAGTGAATTGAAAAGCTTACTAATTGTGCGCTGCTCAAGAGACATCGCCTTACTAAACAGCAGTGCCACAGACTACACATTTAAGAAATTTACCCTTTAGTGTCAAACCCACCGACACTGGTAAAATGGGCAAGACATTGGATACTCAGTCAATAATAACTACAATGTGACTAAAATCTTGTACAGCATAATATTTCCCTTCGTGTGATCTTTTAGTCGATGTCACAGCTACATTTTGTTATTTCTTTCCTCGAAGCACTTTATGTTTGTAATGTTTGTGGGAAGTCAATGAATCAACACGCCGGAGTGTTTCCATAGAGTGGATTTGGGTGGGATTACACTTGATGCTTATTGCAGGTTCCCGTCCTCCATTCCCCGTCTCATTCGACACCGGTGACAAGCGGTGCGTGTGGGCCGCTTTTCATAAAGCCCTACCTCCAGCTGCCTCCACCGACCGACCGCGGTCACATCGGCTATCCGGCCATCACAGTCGACTCGGCGGTGTCCCGCCAACTGATTCACGCGTCCTCCCCAGGCCCCACCCCCACTGTCTCCTACGCCAATGCAGTCCTGCGTTTGCGCAGGCCTCCTCCTTCGGCTTCCTCTCACCCTGGATCCGTCAACTCATTGGCGTCGTTGTCTGGAGCAGCTCAGGTGTAAGTTGACCGCGTACATGAATGCACGTTTTTGCAGCTTAATGCGACTTTTGGTCCAACACAAGACGTCAGCTGTGTACAAACATTCGCTTACCATCTGCACCAGTAGCTCCTTGAACGTGCGCCTAACAGCCCTGTGTTGAGGTTAATCAATTTGTGCCTGAACAAACACCTTTTTTTCCGGATGATGTATCCACAGGCCAAACTCGCGTGGTCTTTGCCAGGGGGCAGATTGATTTTGCTATGCGACGCCATTTCAGTTAATGAACACCACAGCTACCACAGGGGTTTGCTATATTGGGCTTAAATTACTGCGATATCTCGGGGGCATTGACTAACATGGCAAAAACTGGCATTTACATTTGGTCATGGCACAAAACCACAAGATTTGACAGTGACGACAAGTGCAAATGAGTGCCCAGTCAGACGGATAGCGCCTTTAGAGGTGGTGGGATTTGCGCTATGGTGAAGCACTTGAGTTTCAAACGGTGCCCCTAAGAGGCTGTGATGCAGTAGGACGTGTCTTTTTTAATTTATCGGGTCGTCTGTGTTGAATTACAACTGGAGCTAAGTAGGCACACCCGTCGCTAAATAGGTCAGCAAGTAAAAGTCGATAGATAGGGCGCTTAACTGAAGTCAACCAGTAGAGTGTCAACGAAAAAATTGCTAATGGGCAGTGCACCATATCACCTTACAAATGCACCTAATGTAGGAATGACACTGTGACCGTATTAAGTGCGTCTAAGTCATTAATGCACTGTCAGCACGGTGGGCACCTAACTACTATGGCACTTCTGAGTTGTTTGCAAATGTCAGCCCTAGTGAAGAACATGGGTTCTTTGCTCTCAGATTTAGCCAGATCCGTTATCCTGACATTAGACGTCGCTGTTCACGGTTGAATGCTGCGGATGCAACACATGGCATTTGATTCAGCACATAAAATTGAGGAAATGCATTTTTCTAAATGGAGACTTTTCTCGTTTAAGCAGAAATAGTTTAACGGATTTTGCATCGACTACGGTGTAGCTGCGTACACTTCGGGCAGATTAGAAATTTCCAAAAAAACGCCTTTCTTTAGCCCGGCAGTAAGTCCTCCCGGGATCGTCAGCGATCAAGGCCTTTTGGGTCACACTGATGATCGAAAGCAAAAAATGTCCGTACACATTTTTGGCATATTATACGGAATTTTGACAACAAATGTAAGCTGGCGTTAGCTACTCAATGATAGTTGGGTTATAAACTACCTGCAGTTAGTTCATCCAATTAGAGGTGGTTGCTAGTGTTTAAATAACCCGTAAAATTAATTACAGAATGTGCGATGGTCTGTTGTTTTTACTTCAAATGATACCTTGATTTCTTTGCCACTTGCCTTACTTTAAATCAATTATCTGAAGTCAACACTTTGCTTTTTAAACACCCTTCAGCGGTTTACTTTGTATTTTAAATAATGCACAAAGACAGTGCTGCGACATTGGCATGTGGTCCTGTACCGCGCGTGAGAAGACCGGAGTTGAAGTGACCCAGTTACTCTACTCAGATACTCGAGAAGACACGGAGGAGGCCAGAGGTGGCAGCTACACCACCGTTCACTAGACAGCTCGACCGAGTCGTTTTGTGCGCGTGCGTGCGTGAGTGCGCTCGCAGTAGTGCATGCCTAATGTGGTTATTGATCGATAGAGTGGGTGAACTGAGGTCTGCAGTGGTAGGTCTTCGATGGCTGTTTTAAGGAAGAGAGGAGTGTTACGCGAGCACCGCCGCTTACACGTGGTGGCCGGTGGCGTTAACCTCGTGGCAGTTTATTCACCACACCCTGGCGTGCAATCCGACACGCGGTGGGCCGTGACAATGCGTGGCGTCTTGCCACTGATGTCGAAACCGCACCCCCCTCCCTTCACATGCCTCGGCGACCACGTGGAATGACTTATCACTGAAAGCACTTTCACTCTGTGCTCCTGTCCAGGTGTTGCTGTGGCCTCCGGCATGTGGGGTCTTGTACCACGCCCGAGAAGACCAGAGATGGGACAGACACCACCGTTCACTCGACAGCTCGACCGAGTCGTGTTGTGTGGGTGCGTGCGTGCGCTCGCAGTAGTACATGCCTAGTGTAGTTATTGATCGATAGCGGGGGTGTACTAATTACCGCACAAATAAATGAATAGCCAGACGTGTTCAATAGTTAGCCGGGGGAAGGTACATGCACCGGGGTGTATGGGTACGGCTGAATTTGGTGGAGAGAGGGCAGAGTGTCGCAGACCACAGTAACCATATTAACCGAAGTGAATTGACACAATGCGCTGCAGGTGTGTTCTGTCAACCTATGATCCACATTCAGACCCGTTTCCGAATCGGAGTTACTGTCGTCAACCAAAACAGGACATCTTTAAAATGAATTTTTGTCTTTATTTGGAAAAAAATGTGTGTCCACAGAGTCTGTAAATTATACCGCCTCCTCGATGCTTCTTTCAATAGTTGTAGCTTCATCCGTTGTGTATTGAAAATCAACAAAAACCCCAAATTACCGATAAAGACTGATCCACTTAATTCTGAAACAAATGCACAAGCATCGACGTCGGAACACGTATTTGTGCAATGATCGCTCTTGTTTGCTTTTTCAGTCCGCCGGTATCGACACCGAAGTCAAGGGGCTCCAGCAGTGATGGACTTGCCGGTGACAGCCCACCAGCAAGTCCGACCGGGGAGATAAACCGCGCGGTGTCCCAGCTGGAGGACGTGAATCCCGGCACGTGGTCGGGCGGGGTGCCGCAGAGCCTCCCCGGGATGTCGCTGAGCCCCCCGTCTGGCGCCCCTCCCACCGCTGCCAGCCAACGCTCCTCCCTGGGACTGCACGTGGACAAGGAGGGCGCGTCGGTGAGCGCCGGCGATGCCGACAACAAGAGCATCAAGTCCGAGTGTCTGCTGCCCAAAGAACTCTGTGAGACCTTTCGCCATAACTCCTGTGTTTGCTGCCTGACGCATTTCACTGTTGAAACTGGGGTGAACTGTTCGTGAACACCCCCAGAAATTACTGTTGGCTTTTCATTAGTATATACCGGACCAATTTACTTTGATTTATTCAACTTCCTCATATGGACTTAAGAATGCATTCCCTTATCATTGTTAGACCTAAGACGACCAATCACACTAATGTCTATTTAGCTGCAAAACAGAACCCTCCTGTGAAGAACTCTTAGCAAATGACCTCTGCTGCATAAGGTTTTTAATTTGAACGAACAATTTCAGCCCGAACCGCACGGCGTCTCGGTCCGGCGGTGGCGTGCTACTCCTCGGAGTCGAGTCTGGCCACGCCCGACTCCTGGTCCTACAGCCTCCCTATTCGCCCCTTCAAGGTCGATTCTGGATCCGTTTCTAAGGTTTCGCCAATGGAGGGTGCGTGTCCCCTGCTGCATCCGCGTGCGAGAGCCGATGGAAAGGAGGAGGTGGACTCGGAACGCGTCTACGGCCCTCTGGAGTTCATCAAACTACCCTACGACCCCCCACGATCCGCAATGACAGGCGCAGATTCAAGAGATTGTGGTTAGTGAAGATGGAGGATTGGTTAGTTCGACTGGATTCGTCAGCAATAGTTATGTCTTTTTTTCCTGCTTCAGTCAAACTCTCGACGCCAAACTTCAGCAACGGAAGCATGAAGTCGTCGGTAGGTGTATGAACTTGAAAAAACCAGTGTACTAAATATTTATAAGTACTTATTTCATTTTGTTACTTGTACAGGTAAACGGCAGAACGTCCGAGGTAGGTGACGTTGGTGAACTTAGGGTCGGTTTCATGTTTTACCTGTGGCGAGGACCACTTTTAAGCCTACCAAAAATGCTCTTATCTGCACCGATTAATTTGGCCTGTTTTTTAACTAGCAAGTGGCTAAGCATTCCGATTATAATGTTCCGTTTTTTTAATCGACGATTTTCAAACCACCGGTAACCATTATCTCTCATTAGGCTGAAATTAATCTTCTTCGGCACGAACTGGAGGTCGCGAGACAAAAGGTCGCCACACTGACATCACAGCTGGAAGCCAATGTAAGCGTTGATTTAGATTGCGTTGGCAGACACTCGTTGGATAACTTCTTTGCGCGAAGATCGCTTTGTTCATTTTCTTAGTCCTTTTTTGTCATGGTGGCTGGCTTTTGTTTGTGCACCCACGTGAACACCATCTCAAACTAAAACTTTAAGTGGAACTCACCTTTTTCAATTCTGCTCTTATATCAAGCTTCGCAAGAATCAGATGTGCTATCTAGAGGTGCTTGAATTACTTGAGTGATTGATTCGTGTTATCAGAAAAAAAGTATCCTCAACAAATTGGGATGAATCAGATTGACAACGTAACTGAGGTGCTTGTGTGGGAGTAATTGGCTGTGCCCAGCTCAACCCACCTCAAGCGTTCAACACCTCGACCCACTCACCAATCAAATGCGACTGTCATTTTCGATTTTTCGATAGAGACACCAGCAGCACGCACTTGTCGTCGTCTGAAGGCTTTCTTGTATGCCGTTTCAAGGTGAACATCATGTGGATATTGCGGTTAAATTGTGAAAAGGGCTTCAATTGACACGAGAATGCCTAACGCAGACTTGACAGCTCCCAATGATTACACGAATCGTTTCCCGCAGCCGCCGACTTTCCCATAGTGCTTCTTTCTTTTCCTGTAAATTCATTTTAAGACAACAAAAAAACTGCGGTTTGGGGATGCGCGCCGACACTCCTTACCAACTTGATAAGTGCAATTTCCCACATTTTTATTGTGATCATCATTGCATGGTGTTTTTTTATGGAAATGACATTCTTTACCTTTAATTGCCGTTTTTTTCATCACTTCGCGATATCCCAAGTGAATTTTTAAAACTGCTGCCGCATTGCGTAACCAGAGCGTCCTTTGACCAAGCCTTGTCCGTTGTACCAATTACCACTACAGTCACAACAGGCACCAGGCGGACGCACAAAATCCAAATTTTTCGTAGTCGTCCATCCTTTCCTTTCACACCCACCTGCTTCTAAGCCTTTTCTAATATAAGTAGCAGTTTTTTAGCCACTTTTGTGCATCTGTCAGTGTTTGCCTCTTCTGCTATTGAAAAACGTTTCTCACAAAACAAATCTGTTTGGGGTCCAGAGGGTTTTCTTCCCTTCGTTTCCCAATTAAACATCTTTAATCCTTTGTCATGATTCAAAAAATTCATGTTATGCATCGCACTAGTTTGTTGTTGTAGTCTTACCTAAGAAAACGATTGAATCTGTGGCGTTGTGGAATTTGCCTCGTATTGAGAATTTCGAGAACACCATTTTTATGTGTTTACAACTCAGTGACGCCTAAAATTCACGATTTATTTGGACTTTGGTTAATAACTGTTTGCTTAATTTGAATTTAAATAAAACACCACGCCATCTGCGACGGAGGTGCCAGAACACGGCTTGTTGCTTGGAGTCAGCATGAGCTCGCTCTGATGGCTTTTTTGAGGACTGAATGTGTTCAGGCGTTCGTGTTTACTACCAGCACAACCGACCACCAAAGCACCACGCCGTCTGATTCAACTGGTTCACGTTCCCATGCTCCTAGTTTGACTCAGTTGCCTGTCGTGCGAATTCACCTTGACGTCTGTGTTTGTTGTTTTTTTATTCCAAACCACTTTACACACTACACGTTTGCGCTAATCCACACAAGGAGCTGCACAAACCATGTCCAGGGCAAATTGCAGAGCAAATGTGCCGAACGCACACAAAAGAATGTTACTAGCAGGCTGCGTAGGCACTTTCCTCGTGTGCTGTTTTAACCCAGGCATTATGCGCTAAAACACTGTGGAATTCTAGCCGGCACATTGAAGGTCATTGAATACTTTGGAGAAATTGAAAAAAATCGATCCTGGGTCTCTTTGTGTGACCGGTGCAAGCCATCAAGTCACGAATTCTCTCCTATCAACAACTGTCCAATTTAGCTTCACACGCCAACGTCTCACATGTTTACTCTAAAGGTAGTACACACAATTACTCTCTCATGTTACCCTTACCCTTTCCGAAACTAAGAGATCTGTTTCAAGAGTTGCAAATGTATCAATGATTATTAAAACTGTCTAGAGGTAAATTTGAAATCGTCATCCTGATTATTGTTTATACTACTCTTGTCAAGAAATCACACTAATGGCTTTTGGTGAACCGTTTAGTTGCTACCTCCTTATTTTGTGTAGAATAAAACAAAACCAAGGAGTTACCCCGATTTAACAACTTTTAACTGATTAAATTTGTAAACGTGTCCACTTGGCTTTCTCTGTCTACCACGCTAAGGCTATCCGCCGCACTAAATGGTGACACACGCATCCTGTATTACATGAATGTTTGCAGTTGTTACAAAGCAGCTTCACTTTTTCTTCCTACACTTAAGGCTTCTTTCACAAAACAACTTTCTGACTGAAGTCTGTTGATGCAACAACAGATTCCTGATCATTTACAGCAAAAAAACTTTTGTAAAACGCATTTAACTCCCATCCTTTTTTGGTTGGCATGCAAAATCTGGCAGAAATTTGTAATTTAGTTTTAAATTTTTAGTCAAGCAAATGACTGTACTATGAAATATCAGATGTTTAATTGAAAACGAATTTGTAATCCGAAACTTCCCAGTAACTTCGTTTAAATGTTTTCCAATTTGTTCCTAAATAAGCAGAAATAATCTTCAATTAATTTAAAGTGGTGTCAGTAAAAATGTGTGCTAATGTGGGTGAAGTGGTTTTAATAATTATAAAAGGGGACAGTCCGCTATGCCATTTGACAATGTGATATCCACTGTTGTCAGTAATTAAACCAAGTATGATTCGCATCAATGCTTGAAAATACTGGGTTAGAATAATTTCTACGGCATTCATCTTGAGGTAACTGGCATGACAAAAAAACCCAAATCATCTCTTATGAAAATTCGCTTTGGACATTCGAAGAAAATCTGACAATCAAGGACTCTTAGCTTGTTAAAATTGATTTAATTAAAGCCTCCTTAGAGTAATATGTCAGTGGCATCGTTGGCGATCTCGTACGCCACTGAGGAGATGGCGTCGTGGACGAAATTCATCTGTACATCTCGAAGAGGCACTTGCGCTAAAACCGAGCAAGGCCGCTCAGGCTGGCTTATGCCCCACTGGCCGAATTAAATGTTGCCTTGATAGTCCACCTTGCCTGTTTCTTTTAGAAGTAGTCGTTTTCTGTAAGTAAAATCCTGTTTTATGAAAACATCATAGTCTATTTTGTGCGATTTTTGTAAAATGTTGTTTTTACGCATTTCAAGGTTTTACTTAAGGTTTGCTAAGAGCAAACGAAGAAGTTTGGGGGCTTTACAAAATCGCCAAAGCTGTCTGATTCATTTCACATTAAAGGCTCGAACTACCAAGTCTTAGGTGGGTGAAATCTTATTCCCGTGGTCGCAGTTTTTGTGTTTGTCCCGTTTCCAATGTTGGCGGTCATGTCTAGACATGTTCGATGGTGCTAGCGATTGATTGGCACGCCGTCACATTGGCGACCGTCTTCAGACCTTCAATTGTTCATTGGCGGTGGCTTACAAACCACGAAGTTTGTGTTCCTGCACAAGTTGGTCGTATTGTCTGTCCCCTGTCCTTTCCTTGTCCCCAGGTTCTGCGGGCCCTTTACAAACTGGGCTACACTTGGTGATCAAGCCTACAAGCTGCTTTCACATTTGTATCTAATATTCCGCCTATTTTAATGTTAGTGAATATCATTTAGTTGGAATTCTTTTACGCTTCAAACAATTTGTGCTTAAAATCATCTTACTAAATTACTTTTGGTCAATCACTTTACCTAACCAGCCAACCTGTCGTAAAATGGGTGACATACCTAAGTGAGGACAAAGTTAACAATGCACAAGGATTCTGACTGTTGCCAGCAGTTCACCTATAAGTGTTATAAATTTATTCTTAAGACTGTGGTGGCATTAGAATTGTATTTTCCGAGGAGGCCTGCATCACATTTGCACCTTTTTCAACGTTTGCTACTCTGCGTTAACTTGCAGTTGTAAAGGGAGCGGAGAATAGGCAATGCAGTTTAGAGAAATCTAGATTCCTCTTGCAGGAAACCACTTAAAATGTCCTTTAAAACAAGATGGGGGCCCCGTTGGCCCAACAAGAGGTTTTCCGGGTTTAAGCTGACATTCTAGTCTCTTGAAATGAGGTGGTTAGGGATCTGTGTAGACTTAGGCCAGAACATCAGTCACTTGAATGCATTCCGATTCCATCAGCTGTTTTCCATTGCCTCTTTGCATGCGCGCATAATTACTCATCGCAAGGTGTCACGAATGGCCAATGAAATTGATCCTCGTGTGTACGTTTACACATGCACGACCGCGCACATAATCACTGGCGTTGGGCGCGTGCACACAGCACTGACATCCGCCGCATGGACCGGTTCTATCCCAACTTTTACTCCCTTCAATCGGTTCCAGCCGAACCACTGGATCCTCGGTTTAAACGCCGTTCGTGGAATGCTTTTCCCGATGCCTCGATCCTTCCCTACACACTCTACTCACAGGAGGTGCCTCAGAACCGGCAGCATCAAAGATGCTCCAGTGAAGCTCCTGCTGTAAAGCGGTCTTCGACATTCATTTCACAAGACGCTAAAAATGACATTCAGGATGATGATTTAACAACAACTAGCGTCTCTCCCATTCCACCAATCGCCGTGGTGAAGCCCACAATGGGTGGTATAGCTGGTGGCCGCATTCACCGTCCACGACCTTGTTATGGGTCCGCGTTGAGGCCTGCAGTTGACCTCCCGCCACTATGCATGCAAATAAGCACACCTGAGGTCGCTTTCTCTAGTCTTTGTCAGCAAAACATTCAACGACCCAATGGAACCCTCCCTCGACGGAGGTCCCAGCAAAATAGGCAAAGAAGGGAGGTAGTGAAACCGGCTGTTAGACACTCGGTTTTCGAATGCCCGAACGTCATTGACTATGGACCACTTCAACCATCGGTTCAGTCACAGGAGTTGACCATTCGACGAAGAGCCAGGAGGCACCCTGAGCTTGTGTCCACAGAACCGGTTAGTAGGAGAAGGCTGTTTGGCACACTCACGACTCAGTCGGTTCCTTTTACCGATGAACTCATGAGTAATGAGGACCAGTCATCGTCATTGGTGTCTGAATCGTTGCCACCTGTCTGCGTTCATTCTGAAAGACTGCGGCGGGGTAATCGTGTAAGTGTCATTGTACAGAGCTCCACTACGACATCATGGGTGGGTGTTCTGCACCCATCTCATCAAACCTGCCCTTGTTTCTAATTATTACCCACAGATATTCCACCAGCGGACCTCAATGCTTGTCTATAAATGCGAGGAACCCATTCCGACAACAAAAAAATTTTAGTTTTTTTGCTAAATGTGTCAAATTGCCTTTCAACTTTTTTACGCTAGTGTAGACAATTGTCCAGATGATTAACGCTGATAAGGAGCCAAAATTTTCTGTTAGTGCTGCTCGAATTCAGTTTAAAACAGCATTCCCTCAATGATAAAATAAGAGAAGTGTTTTGTTAGATAATTGCGACCAGGCATAAGAAATTTTAAGGCATTAAAAATAGACGCTAGCTTTTATGGTAAATAAATCATTTCGTTCGTGATCGTCGAGGAGGTCGGACGTTTTCACAGTCCAATGATTCACCTCCTGCATATTTTGTGAACATGATCCACACATAAATAGCACCCTCCCAGTTTGTTCGCAGGCATCGAGGCACCTGGTATTGTTTTACTCCATTAGTAATATATCACGGTTTATTTTTAATCGGCTCCACAGTTGTGCAAAGTTGCCACGCACTTTGGTGCAGCAGCTGTGTAGAATTGTGTTCCTCAACTGTGGGCACTATGAGCTCTCAGATTTTACCGAATCAAATCGCAGACCTGGCAACACGAAGCATTCCCAAAAGGCTTTTAGATCATGGAAGGAATTACACGGGCCTCCTTTAAACCCAACATTCAAAATTCGTTTTTTCACCTCCAGCGCTTGATTCGGATGTTGTCTAACCACAAGTCGAAACCACCAATGTTGCCATTGTAAAATTTCTAGTACCCCCTTGTAAATTGTGTTGACCAAAGTCGTTATCGTAGCGTTTCTGCATTTGGTACGCCAATTTCAAATGAAGTGCAACTGCAGCAGAATTCACAAATAACTCGTAGTTTTGCATGTAAAAGGCGAATCGACAATCGTGAGTGAAAAAAACGTAGAAGTTGAACTGACAATGACAGGTGAAATGTTTTGTAAAGGGAAATTTTATTGGACAATGCATTAGACTGATGATGATTCACGGAAAATTACTTGTAGGTGCATGGTCTTCTGTGAAAATAAAATGCTTATTTTAACCGGAAAAGAATTAGTAAAATTTTGTAGAAGAATTCAATGCTTCACCGATCTGGTTTCATTAAACTAGTCAAAAGTGCTGCCGAATCTTGATTTAATTTTCACAAATGATTCTACGGCAAGACCGAAGAAATTATTACGATTATTAACTATGATCATCACTCAACTGACATTACCCAAATCAAGTGATAACATTAAAACTTGCAAGCAAATTAACAGGTTGGGGTCGAAAATTTTAAACAAATAGCAGGAAAAGTGGAAAATCTTAAGATGAATGATCAGTGTTTGTTCTTAACTTAGAATAAAGAAAGCTGAAAATATGTTGCATCCTGAATAAGATCTTCACTAGTAGAGCTAAAAAGTATGATGGCAAGTTTTTGTAGTACAGCGTCTTTTGTTCATATTACTGACGTTGTCCGCGCTACCATCAGCAGGAGTTTAAATCCCCTTGGCGTCAGGCTTATCAATGCGGCTTGCTTCTCGCAAATGGTTTACTGTGCACACACTTACACCGAGTTCATGGGATATTTCCCACACAACGCGCCCCCTGCAGATGGTCACTTTCGATGTGCCTGGACATCAGCCGACCAAGAGAGAATGCGGTAGATGTCAAGCGTATAATAGCGACAAACCTGCGCTACCATCAGGAGTGATTTAAATCCCATTGGCGTCAGCCCTAACGATTTAGCTAAAGTCCTCCAAGTTCATGGGATATTCCCCACACAACGCGCCCTCCGCAGATGGTCACTTTCGATGTGCCTGGACATCAGCCGACCAAGGGAGAGTGCGGTGGATGGCGCTTCAGGCAAGCACCAA